GCAGGCAAGGCTATGAGCTGACAGATTTGTGAGTTGAAGAGATCGCTGTGACTTACAAGTGGAGGACGACATGGAAGGGCCAGGGGCTGGAGGCAGGACAGGAGTCAGGAAGCTGCAGGAGGGTGGGTCTGAGGGACACAAAGGTGTCTGGAAACCAGGATAGTGGGCATGGAGACAGAGGGCAAAGGGTGGAGTCTAGAGAGAGTCATGGAGTAGAATGCTAATCCAACCAACAGAAGTTTAATAACAGAAGCCAACATTTATTGAGCACTTACCGCATGCAAGGCCCTGTGACTTGGGGCTTTCCACCAACATGTAGATAACTCAGTTAACCTTTCCATCAACCCTCTGGGACAGGTTCTTTCATTATGCGCCCATTTTAGAGGTGAAGAGGCTGAGAAACTGACTAGAAGCCACTTGGTTTGTGACTTACATTACTGGTTGGGGAGCTGGAGCAGGAGAGGCTGCAGTAGCATTCAAAGACACATGGACACCTGTCAAAGCATCATGGGAAGGTGAAGATCACCGAATGGGGGACACACCATGGTGAGGAGTGCCTGGGGTGGCCAGAGGGGAACGCACCAAGCCCTTCTGCCCTGCTCATGGGTCTCCTTCACATGTTCCCATGACTCAAAGTGGGGCCCTGACCTGGGGCAGTGTGCTCTGAGGTGGGGGCGAGCTGCCCAGGAAGTCCCTATTAGCACCCCTGTCCCCAGTGCCTCCACATGCCAAGCCAAGAGCCCAGTGTCAGCTGGGACCCAAGGGAAGACCAAAGTCTCTGGCTGGGCAATTCATCCCAGCTGCCAGGTGACGACCCTCCCCAGGGAGTTGGGGGAGAGGAGGACTACATCAGGACTATATCAGGTCCCGAACAGGTGGGGACAAGGAAGGGAGAGAGACCTGGCATCAAAGGAGAGCTGAGCAGTGGGGTGGATGGAGGTGGGGCCTCCCAAGCTTGGGGTCACTGGCATTTCATTGGAAAGTCAAGTGACTTTGGGGCACAGATGCTCCCCCCCGCCACACACAGGACACTCTCTGGCCTGTAGCACAGGACACACCATTGGTGATATGTGACCTGACACCAAACGATGATCCTGATGACAACATGAACATCAAAGATAAAAGCCAAGAGCCTCAGACCTGTGCTGGCCCCCAGGGAAAAGAGGAGGGCAGTTTTCAAGGCTGGGCTGCCCCAGGCTGCTCGCACACGACCCTGCCTGCTCCCACACCTCCACAGTTTTGCATGCTAGCACTGCCGTCCCCTGCCATCCTCCCATCTAATTCCTACTTGCCCCTCAAAGTCCGTCCCCAAGTTACCTCCTCCGGGATAGTTCTTACTCTCACAGTCCCAGGAAGCCCCTTCACGGCCCTTACCACAAAGTGTCATCGTAATCTTTTGCTTATGTGTGTCTGGGGCATGACCCCTCACCCCAGAGACAAGTTGGGCTCATCCTACCCCAGCTCACCTCCCTACCCCTCACTCCCTCAGCCTGGGAACCCAGGAACCAGCAGGAGAGAGGGGCCAGCAAACCAGCAGCTCCAGCCAGCGCCGTCACCTCCGAGGAGCTCAGATGGAGCCTCCCACCCCCCCAGTTAGCCCCTATCTCCCAGGGCCACCACTAAGGCCTGCAGTCGGGTGGCCTCACTGTTCACCAACAACCAACTGGCCTGGGCTAGAGCAGTATTTCCACTGAGGATAGGAAACAGGGGGCAAAACCACTCACTAAGGTGGCTCAGAAGTCCCGGGAGATGAAGGCAGCAGGGAGCAAGCGGGTCTGAGTTTCACCTTCCTCAAGGCACACACACACAGAGGTAACCCAAAGCCTCTCTCACATACAAGTCCACACAGCCACACTGACACCAGGTTACCGCACACAGCTCCTGCCTCACACTCGCCTCACATACACACAGGGTCTCTGTCACACATGGAGCTCCCAGCCCACACAGCCTGACACACAGATGGTCTCGTGCATGCAGGCTTACATGCCGAGCTTCCCAGTGTCCCACCCGCCACGCACAGAAATACACTCACCTCAAGTCTCTCACACCCTCCCCAAGAATCCTTCTCTCTCTCACATGCACAGAGCACCTCTCTGACACATACAGTCCCCTCTCTCTCTTATATAGGCACTCTCCCACACAGTCTCACTCTCACACACAAAGTCCATCTCTCAAAACCCACAGAATCTGTCTTTTTCACATTCACATGGGATTACTCTGATACAGAAACACAGAATTTCTCTCACGTAGTCAATCTCAACACACACACCCACCCACCCCCAGAGTCTCACTCACACATGCTTTTATTCTCATGTGGCCTTTCTCTCTCTCTCTCTCTCTCACACACACACATGAAGAACCTCTCACACCCACACAGAATCTCTCTTACACAGATTCTCACACATACGGCTTGTCTTTCACACACACCTACAGTGTCACACACAGGATTCTGGTCTGGAATCCCGAATAAACATTTAAATCCCGGCCTCGAAATCTGAGGCGGCCTGGGGCCCGCGAGGGGGAGGGGTAAACAAAGGTGACGGAGGCGGCGGAGGAGCTGATATGGAGGAGGGAGAGCAGGCGGGCGGGCAGCCGGCTGGGCTCTGCGCAGATGAGCCGCAGAGAGGCAGCGCAATGCAGCTAGGCCAGCCGGGCGTGCAGCGGGAAGCCTGGGTTCTAATCCAGGCTCTGCCCTCACTTCCTGTGTGCCCTTGGGCAGGCCCCAGTGTCCTCAGCTGTCACCCAAGGGAGCTGGAACAACTCTCTGTGGCCACTGGGGAGAGAATGTCACACAGACAGGCTGAGGGGGGCACCTTCTAAGCATCCCCCCACACCCCACCCCCAACCACTGCTCAACTTTTCCCTCAGAGTCTGCTCTTCAGTGGACACTGGAGAGAACCAGGACTTTTCTGTAAGATTCTGTAAGATTCATGACCCCCTTTAGCCAACTCATGTATCTGCATGGGGGAATGGCCAGTGGGAGGAGATGGACAGGGCAGGGGGCTAGAATATGTCCCACGTGACCCCTGCCTATCCTGAAACTTCAGGGGCTAGGGTCAGAGCCCTAAAGCTGACCCCAGGGGTGGGGTGGAGGGACGCAGCCTCTTGCTAGGGCTCCAGAAGGTGGAGAGGACCATATGGAAGTTGGGCCTACTCTGCTTCTGGGGCAAAGGGGGTGGTGGGTGGTAGTAAGATGCTTCCCAAGGTCAAATGCAGGCTAATGGGCAGCTGCTCTAACCTTGGCCTCTGCTCCTCCTGTCCCCTGCCCCCACATGCACCAGTTCAACCTCCCAGTCCCCTTTCTCCTGCCCCTCCTCACAGCTCAGCTACAGCCTCCAGTTACATAATCCCCTGGCTAAGGTGGCCTCTGTCAGGAGAGGGGAGAGGGGGGAGACCTCTGAGGATCCCAGTCTCCTCTGGAGATGGCAGGGAGCTGGTGGCCAGCTGAGTGGAGGACGGGGTCCCAGGAGACTTGGGTCCCAGTACACCATGGCCTCTAACTCCCTGGGTGACCTTGGGCAGGCTTTTCAAAACAGAGGGTTTAACTCTCTCTTTATTACTGCACCTCCACACACCCCCTGCCCGCCCCAAACACACACATAGCTGATCTAGGATTTAATACATAAGACCTGTTGCCCTCTCCCTCAGATGCTAAAACACTGAGTATTTTATCTCAGTAACACATCCATCAGGCCTGTGCCTAAACACAGCCTTTTCCTGCTGTGGACGCTTCAGTGCCCCCGGGTTCCTTCTCCCCACTGAAGTCAGCCAGGCAGGCACTCCTGCTCCCTCCCCTGCCCGAACCTCCCTCCCTGGGCTCTGGATGGCAGGAGGGAAGGGGTGTGGAGCAGTAAAGGAGATGGGGCATTGCAGGTAATGTCTTGCCTGGGAGAGGATTAGGGGGTGGCTCACATATGGGGGAGGGACTCTGCTTTAAATTCCCAGCTCTGACCCTTCCCCTCTGTTCAGGTATCTGAGGGCAGAGCCTAGCAAAGGCAAGAGGGGTTTCTTCCAGGGTAGGTAGCTGCTACCCCGTGTCCCTTTAGGGCTCAGTTAAGCAGCAAAGACCTTCAGAATTCACCAGATCCCCTCTCTCACTTTACATTTGAGGGAACTGATCGGAGGAGCCATATGATGGGCCAAGGTGGGCAGCAGGGTGCCCTTTCTCCCTGGCAACAAGCTGCTGTCATTAAAGGGGAGTGGCTGATGAAGACACACCTCCTTCTCACAGGCCTATAGACCCCCTCTCTGTCCAGACAGGTCCTAGAGGAAGCACAGGCAGAAGCCCAGAGGTCCCCTTCAGCCCTCTCTCCTTTTGACAAGGAAGAAAGGCAGGCTCTGTTTCCAGGAACAGGTCTCAGAAGGATCACACCCTCCCCCCTCCCCATCTATCAGTTAATTAGCCACAAAGACTACCCCTTAAAAAAAAAAAAAAGACTGCCCCTCGACCATCTCCCTGGGAAGGTCCTGAGGCTGCTCCCCAGGGTGGGGTGGTCCATCTCAGGCAGCAGATCAGGTCTCAAGCCCTCTTCTGTGGGCCCTGGCTGGTCCCACATGACCCATACCTGGGAGAGAGGAAGGACTCCTGCTTCCCTCCCCACACCAAAACCTAAAGGACAGTTCAGACCTTCATCTGTACATCTGCAGAGACGGCAGTGTGCATGCACAGGCACGCCTGCACACTCAAACATACACACATGCTCACTCATTCTCACCACACACCTTACCCACCCAAATATACACTTACACAAATATGCGCACACTATCAACTCACGCACACAAACACACCCATTCATACTCACTTATACAGACTAAATTCAGAAATACACAGACCTTTACATAAGTACAAAGCTAGCCACCCTTGAGGAGAGTCACTGTCTCTGACACAGGTGCAGAAACACCCTCCTTTCTGCTTTGACTCCCCGGGCACCAGTTCTCGGCTCCAACCCTGCCCGCTGCCTTCCCCGCCCCACTCTTCTCATGGGTAAGTTGTCACTTACCCTCGCGTAGCGGGATGAGTAGGGGTCCTCGAAGAGGGCCCAGATGCGCGGCTGCCAGCGGCGCCAGAAGCCGCCAGGCCGTCCGTCTGGGGAGTCGCTGAGCGCCAGGCGCTTGGTCATCTCCAACTCGTCCTCGCCGTCGCCTGAGTCGCCGGGGCCGTCGGCGTCCGCGTCGTCCGCGCTGTTGTCCAGGGGCGCGCCGCCGAAGCTGTCCAGCGCCTCCTCGGCGTCGCGGTGTTGGCGGTAAGTCATCCAGCAGCAGGGCTCCACGTCGGTCTCGTCGATGCCCCAGAAGGCCAGCTCCTCCTCGTAGAGTGGCCCGCACACGTCGGCCGGGCAGTGCAGCTTGCCCGTGCGGTAGTAGTTCAGGATGTGCGCGAAGACGCCGGGGTGGCGGTCGAAAAAGAACTCGTCTGCGCGCGGGTCATAGTCGAAGTGGCTGTGGGCGTCGGGCTCCGCCAGCCAGGCGAGCCGCGTGCCGGGCAGCGTGCGCAGCGTCGAGCGGTACGTCTGGTGGCGCGTGCCGCCCACGTTGATCACGATGCGCTCGCTTTCGTCCCCTTGGCCCATCGCGGCGCCTCCTTAGGCATGGCGCGGCCCAGGGACACCCATGGGAGCGGCCGCCAGGGGGAGTTGGCGCCGGGGAGGGGGGCGCGCGGCCTCCTCCCCCCTCCCCCCAGCCGTCGGGGGGACAGAGGACCGCGGTTCCGGCTACTCCGAGAGCAACCCAAGCCCTTCAGGGCGCTTTCTGGCGGGTGCTGGTCCAAGGGAGTGTGCGCGGGATCCCCAGGGTCTCCGGGAGCCAGATGTGGGAGGGAGCTAGTCCGGCTGCGGAGGAGGCAGAGGAGGAAAGAAGGGAGGGAGGGAGAGAGGGAAGGGGTGGGGGGGGGCAGGCGGCGCTCAGCGGCGAGCCCCAGGAGGAGGGAAAAGAGGGTGGGGGGGCCGGGCTCCCGTCCCCATCTCAGCGGGAAGATAGAGAAATCGACACAAAGCTATCGGGGGGGGGGAAGGTCAGCTGCTTCCAGGGCCGGACATAGATCAGCTCCTGGAAGGGGGAGGGGAAAGGACAAGAGGGAGCCGGGAAACTCGCGCTCTGCTGTGAGCTGGTCGTCGCAGCGCGCTCTCGGCGCGGGGGAGATGGATGCCCGCTGCCTTCCTCCCGGCGTGGCCCGGCTGCAGCTCGGGGCGCAGGGCGGACTCCGGCCCCCTCCCTCTCCTTGCCTGGCTGCCTGCTCCCCCCGGCGGCAGGCGCGCCTGTCCGCTCGCCCGCCCTCCTCGCTCCTTCTCCCCGCCTCTCGGAGGAGATGGCGGGCCCCCTGGGCAGGGGCACCAGGGGTGCTGTTCGGTGCTGCTGCCGCGGAGCGCTGCACTCCGTGCGCTCCGGCTGGATCTGGGGCTCTCCTCTGGATTGCGCTCCGACTCGGGCTCCGGCTCCGGCTCCGGCTCCGGTGGCGGTGCTGAAGGGACAGCTCCCGGACTGTTGCGGAGCTGCGCGGGGCCGGGCTAGGGTTCTCCCGACTGGGCTCCGTCTGCGGGGCCGGCGGGCACTGATTCCGGTGCCTCTGCGCCCTGCGCTCTGCGCCCTGCTTCGGGCAGGCGGTTGGCGCTGTCGACCGAGGCGAGGGGGCTGCGGCGGTCGGGCCGGGGAGGCGCGGGTGGCGGGTCTGGGCGCGGCGAGGCAAGGTTGGTGAGGCCGGGGAGGCGAGGCGCGGAGCGGCGGCCGCCGCCGCCCGCGACGCTGCTGCTGCCGCCGGGGCTGCTGCTGGGCTTAGCTGGCTCGCTTGCTCGCTCGCGCGGTCCGCGTCCAGCCCGCCGCTCTCCGGACACGGGCACACGGCGCGCGCAGCCGCACTCGCCCCCGGAGGGAGGCGCCGCGCTGGGTCCTAAAAAGCCCTGATTCCGCGCCCCTCTCCCAGCCCGGAGCGGAGCCCGGCCTCCTTCAACCCCGGCGCTGGGGGCGCCAGCCGGGCACCCATCCTGCGGCTCCCGGGGAGGGGGGCGGAGAGGAACCCGCCAACGCTCCGCCCTGGGGAGCGCCACTCAGTGGGTGGGGGATCTGGCAGACGTCTCGACCCGCGCCCCTGGGTCAGATTGAGGTGAGAAGGCGGTTTGGTACCCGCCTTTATCTTTCCCAACTAGGGACTGTCTGATTCCCTAGTGAAATGAGACACCCTTGACCGCTATCAGAGACACCTCGATCCGGATGGCTCCAAACAGTTCTTTAATATCGACCTTTCCAGGGAACCTGGAGTCCCCATGTCGCTTTCATAGGTACCCTATTGCATGGATTCTAAAATAACACCTTCCGCGCTCCCCTATACACTACACACACCTCCACTAGGTTGTGTTGTCCTCTAAGCCATCTACTAACAACCTGATAATCCTGGACCCCTATTAACCCCTTTCGACCCTTTTCTGACCCTGGGCCCTTCTTAACTCCAGGCTGACCCTAGTCTCCCACGAGTGCCTCATGCTGTGCATATTGATCCCAGCTCACTGATCCTCCCGCACTAGCCCAGGATCCTTAGTGGGGATTCTGTCCTTAGAGGTGAGAAGAAGCAACTCCTTCTAGTGGTCCTGAACATTGACAGGCTGCCTTTCTCGCAGGGTTTCAGCTGCACTGGAGGGGACGCTGATGTGATATCTGGGAGCTATATAGGAGCGGCTCCCCTGCGGTGATTCTGGGTTTCACCGTTGATGCTGGGGTGGGAGCTGCAGTTTGGGCCCCCAAGCCTTCTCAGCCCATGTTTGCTGGTAGTCCCTCAGTTTACTCAATGAAGCCATCACCCCTTCACGCCTCACTTGTTCCAGGCTTGGTCCCAGACAGAGAGGCACAAGCCCCTCCAGGGGCTCCAGGCTGTCAGGGAAGTGGGCAGGTGGGCCAGGACAGGGCTGGGGAGGTCAGGCCCAGCTCCAGGGGTGGCTGCGTTGGGAAAGAGACTTATTGACCGAGCCTAGCCCAATCGAACACAAGGCTGCCTGGGCAAAGGGCGATTTAATTAAGAAGACACGAGGCTCTTACTTACCTGTCGGCACTTGCTCACTGTGCAGACAGCTGTCCCTCAACACTGATCCACAGATCTGGTTGTGGACCTGGGGACGAAGCTGTGCTGCAGGCATCTCTGTCCTCACTTGCCAGGGGAATCCCAGCCCAGCTTCAGCGAAAGCTGTGTGTGCTGGGGCAAAGGTCTGGAGGAACGGAGAGGGTTGGAGAGGAGCAAGGGGCAGAGCAAGGGATGCAGGGTCATGGAAGGACAACTGAGAGACAGAGGCAGAGTTATGGCAGAAACAAGGGCAGAAATGGGCAGAGGCTCAGAGAGAGCAGGGCCAGGATGGCACTTCCTCCCTCCAGAGATTGATTTGTATTCTTCTTCTAAAGGGGAGATGTTTCCCCTTCGATACGAAGACTTCCAAGTAATACGAAAGTGAGAGTGCTTTTTAGTATCCTCCTCTCCTGATCAGTGTGAATCCCACCCCCTACCCAAGAGGAGGCGGGACCTGGTACAGCCCAGGTTGGCCCAAATTCAGATTCCCAGGACATAGTTCTCTCAGAAAGTTCTGCCTCAATCCAAGGAGGTGATAAAATGGAGAAACAGAGTCCCCAGAAGGAACAGAAAAAGATGGATACAGAGTGATTCTGCCAACCAGGCGGCACAGGACTCCACCTCTTCCCTCTCTTGCAGGACCACATGAATCAGAGTGTGGCTCCTTAATCTTCACTGTAGCTTACTTCACTTCCTCAGAAAAAGAACTCTCAGCTCCACCAGGGCTCCTTCTTGCTTGCTTCTCTGCACAGTGCCCAGAGCCACAGTAGCTCCTCATTAAGGGCTGGATGATTTGAGAAAGGCCAGGAGAGGGGCTGGGATCCTAGAATCCTCGTGTGAGAGGCCATAGGAGTCTGGACCCCTAAACCAGGGCTGAGTCAAGGGGAAACCCACCCAGGTTTTCTTGGGAAGTCAGTGCAGACCCCACCTCAGGCTTCTACCCCGTGGTGAACCATAATGGGCAACTAAAGCATGCCCCAAGGGGTGGGCCGAAGCAGAGGGAGAGGCAGAGAGAGGCAAAGGGTGCTTAGAAGAGGGAAGCTGGAAGAAACCCTGGTCAGGCCTGGCTCTGTAGGGCTAGAAAAAGGGGCAGGACAGGGCTGGAGGGAGGGGGAGTGTGAAAGTTTATCCATCGCACCTAAAATCCCCTACAAGGTAAGCAGAGTGGGCTCAGAGAGAGGAGCCTCCCAGGTGGGAGAGAGTAGCTGCCCATGAGGTGCCCTATGCTGTCATCCTTGATGACACTCCGAGGCCCCAAAGGATGCCCCCCTTCTCTATCCTAAGCAGGGACATAAAAGTTCCTTCTCTCACTTCCTTTTCACACTGTGAGAAGGCTGGCATTTACATAAAGCCCAGAAAAACCAAGAGGGCATCGTGGGGGAGGGGGGAAGGGAAATAACTCCAGAGAAATGGGGGTTGGGAGGAGGACCCACTGAACAGAGCCTGTTACCCACAAGGCTAACCACAGACCCTCAGCCCAGATGAGAACCCCACCACTTTTGAGCTGTCCCTCTTACTCATAGACATTTGCTCCCTCCCTTGCAGAGGAATCACTGGTGCTATGCAGAGTGTCTTTGGTATCAGTGGCTGATACTAAAAAGTATACAGGCGGGGCTCGGGGTACAGTGAACTAACAGTGGGGTGATATTACTCAGTGGTCAAGAGCATAAACTTTGGAGCCAAATTACCTGCGTTCAAATCCTAGCTCCGCCATTGATTAGCTATGACCTTGGGCAAATTACTCAACTTCTCTGTGTCAGTTTCTTTATTGATGAATAACAACAAGCCCTATATTATAACACCTCAGCTCTGTCATTTCTCTTGATGGGAGTGATGAAGAATGAGCTAAGGCAGGATATGTGCTAGAAAGAGGTGAAGGGAGTCCTGAAGCCAAGTTTGGCCTGTGTTCTCACACCTGGCACTTGCAGGCCTAGATCTGGTTCCTCTAGGCTCTGGAACTGGCCCAAGTCCACCCCCCTCCCACTCCGCAGGCCTTGATACAGGTTGGCCCATCCCACAAGTTCTCTCCCAGGCCAAGAGCCTTCACATTCCTGGTGGGTTGGGGTGCCATCTTGTGGCCAAATCTGAAAACTAACCTAACCAGGGCACAGAGCAGGCTTCGGGGAGATAAGCCTGTATCTCTTCTGCAGATCAGAACTCCTCCCTCCAATGGACAGGGGAGGGTGAAACTAGAGGTACCATAGTTGGAAACTGGTGACGGTGGCTGTCAGATCTGTAGCTTGAGAACTGAACCTGGTGCCTAAGCTGGGAAGTGGGGTGTACAGTTGCTTTTTTCCTGTGATCCCTGGGCGAGTGGATCTCAGATCTCTTAGTCCAGCCAAAGTCTAGAAAAGGGCCAAGGTAAAGAATCTTCCAGGGAAGTGCTAGAGTGGGGTTTGTCAATCTCTGCACTATTGACATTTTGGATCATATTATCCTTTGTCGTGGGGCTGTCCTAGGAGATTTAGTAGCATTCCTGGCCTCTACCCACTAGATGTCAGTAGACTCAGTCATGTCCTACTCTTT